TTGATATAAAATTTCACTGACAAAGTGAGTACCGTTGCAGAATTTGCAACACATTGCACATTAGCCGTTTCTGTACATTAAATATTACCCAATTATTACTTTAATCTATTTAATTTTGATAATAAAAACGGTACGTTCATGTACAGCGGTACCTTTGAAGTCGGCGCTAGGTGTTTTTTATGCCATGTCAAATTCTGGCTAGTTAGACTATACAGAACCGCATTTCTTTGAAATATTTTTAATATTTAAAATTTTGTTTATTATAAATTTTTTCAAAAAATAAAATCTGCGAATCGCTCTCAAATTATGCAAACTACCAGCCTTAGAATTTAGTGCCATAAGTTCCTGAACATCCTGTATAAGGGTTGTTATGAAAGTAGTTTCGTTTTTTTTGTGGAAATGAAAAACAGTTTTCGTATAATAAATAAATACTTTATTAAATTATACAGGGTGGGCCTGAACTCACGCCCCACCGGGAAAGGCCTTATGGAACCGACAATGAAGATGCCAAAACTGCAGTCGAAAACATGAAAAAGGTTTTCCTTTGGTAAATAAAGAGGTTTAAAATTGACCAATCCCAGTAGCAGTTCACATACGCAAAAATGACGTGAATACACCAATTTGACATTATTGAAAGATTGTATGTCCTTTTCACTTTCAAGGAACAAATGATTTTAAATCAAATGATTTCAAATTATGCGCCTAAAGATGCTTAAGACTTATTTTATTTACCCTTTTCCCGTATCTATTATAATAACTAACTATAATTAACAGGTGGAAGACAGGTCCCTACCCACCTGTCGCCCGGTGTGATACCACCACACCAGCTTTAAGAGCTCTTTAATAATGCCTAGTGCATGTTTCCGAGCTTTGCTGGTGGGCCGGTCCCCAGGGTAGGAGGTGACGACCTCATTAAGAGGAAGAACCAATTAACGATCTCCACAAGGGGTGATAAGCCAATAATGACATTTTCTAATATGTGGCATTATTATTTTCAAATAAAAAACCATGATGTCGTCTACTGGGGTAAAATATTCCGGAGGTAAACTCGTTCCCCAATCGGATCTCCGGGGGGGACTATCCCAGGGGATACAACATGGAGATTCAAGCTCCTCTAATCATGCCACCAACGGCTCATCCAATCAAGACACCAACACCAATTATGACACCAACACCAATTATGACATTACCAATCAAGTCAACAATAAAAAGCTCAATATTGAGTTTTGCAACATTCGAGGGCTCGGACATAATAACATTAACGTTAATTGCGTCCATCAACATCTACAATCAGTCAAGCCCCATATTTTAGCTTTAAGTGAAACTCAAATAAGTCCATCAGCTGACAGCACATACCTGCTATGTCCTGGGTATGATTTGCATTCTAGGTTTAGGTTCAAGGGAGGCGTTTGCGTCTACGTCAGATCTGACGTTGCCTGTCAACGTGAAGAATCCATGGAGGTTGACAGCCTTGACGTAATGTGGCTTAAAACTATTATCCACAAGAAAACGCGATTTATATGCTCCCTGTATCGCTCTCCTAACGACAACCAACCTCATCAGCTGTTTCAACACTTATCAGAGAAAGTCGACTGGATCCAGATCAACTATCCATCATCTGAAATTATCATTCTTGGCGATTTCAATGCTCATAATTCCGGTTGGCTAACACACTCCAACAAAACGGACGAGGCCGGAAGACAAGCCGAAGCCTTTGCAATCAGCTGCAATCTATCTCAATTGATAGATTGTCCAACAAGAGTTCCCAGTAACCCTAATGATTTCAGAAACACGCTAGATTTGTACCTAACCTCAGAGCCTGACAGCTATGACATCACGGCACATAGTCCACTTGGCAACTCAGACCACATCTTATTATCCGCATCATGTCCCTTAATTGTGGAGACTGTCGACCAACCCAGAGCTCGTCGTCTAGTTTGGCACTACAACAAAGCCAAGTGGGATGAGCTGAGAGACTTTTTCGCAGCGTTTCCTTGGAGCGCTACCTGCTTTGCGAACAAAGACGTTAATCAGTGTGCTGAAGCTGTCTCTGAGGTAATCCTTCTAGGTATGGAACTCTATATTCCACATAATCGCAAAAAACCACCATCCACAACACCCTGGTTTAACAAAGAATGCGAGCAAGCGTCCGTTAACAAAAATAGAGCGTTCAGAGAGTGGTGCTCAAATCCGTCGGAAGAAACGCGACAAACATATATGCAACTTAGAAATAAGTGCAATCTGATTATCCAACAAGCAAAACAAGCATTTAACAATAAGGTAACAAATAAGCTTTTAGAATGTCCTAGTGGTTCGCGTCCATTCTGGTCACTAGCTAAGGCTATCAACAACAATTTTTGCCATACCACCTTCCCACCACTTGTTAAAGATGATGGCACATTGGCGACCAGCTCCAAAGAGAAGGCAGACCTCTTCGCGGCACTATTCGCAAAGAATTCAACGCTAGATGCAGGTCAAATGGTACCTCCTAATATTTCTAAGTTTCAGGTTTCAATGCCCGAACTGAAATTTCAAACACGTAACATCCGCCGCATTCTGAAACAACTAAACTGCAAAAAGTCAATGGGACCTGACGGGATACCTGCAATTGTATTAAAGCACTGTGCACCCGAACTCGCACCTTGGCTCTGTCGGCTTTTTAAGCTGTGCTATGAGCAGAGGACATTTCCATCTGTATGGAAGGTTGCAAGAGTTCAACCAATACCAAAAAAAGGGAAAAAGTGCCTTCCGCAAAATTACCGCCCGATAGCCCTTCTACCCATATTATCCAAAGTAATGGAATCTGCCATTAACTTGCAGGTTGTTAAATATCTAGAACAGAATGGTCTCATAAGTGACAACCAGTACGGCTTCCGACACAGTCGCTCAACAGGTGACCTGCTCACTTATGTTACACACATTTGGACAAGTGTTATCGAGAACCACGGAGAATCAATAGCGGTCGCTTTAGATATATCTAAGGCCTTCGACCGGGTTTGGCACAAAGCACTGCTATCTAAGCTGGCATCCTACGGTCTGCCCCAAAAACTATGCGGACTTATAGAGAGCTTTCTGCATAGGAGACAAATTCAAGTTGTGGTTGACGGTGCAACTTCAGATCCTTACTCTTTGAACGCTGGTGTACCTCAAGGATCGATTTTATCACCAACTCTATTCTTAATCCACATAAATGATCTTTTAAATTCAACCAAAAACAAAATTCTCAGCTTCGCAGATGATAGCACTCTCATAGCATCCACTACAAACAAGAGACCTGTCAGTGCATCTAAATCAAGTCGCCAAAGGCTCTTGCAAGCTGAGTCCATCAACAACGACCTTCAAATTATTTTGAAGTGGGGATCCGATAATCTGGTTGAATTCAACGCCTCCAAGACCCAGGCAACCATGTTTACAAGAAAGACGTCCTCCGTCATACCCCAACTAGCATTGAATAACCAAACAATTAAAACAACTAATAAATTACATCTTTTAGGGGTCAGCATTAATTCAAATGCAACCTGGCATGAACATGTTTCCACCATAGCTAAATCAGCCGCCCAGAAGCTTAGTTACTTATTTCGTGCCAGAAAAATGTTCACACCAAAGCAGCTTCTGTTACTCTATAAGGCTCAAGTTCGTCCAGCATTGGAATATTGCTCTCATGCTTGGAGTTCTGCTCCTAAGCACTTCTTGCACCTACTAGACTCCATTCAAAAAAGAGCAGTGCGCCTGGTTGATGACCCCTCATTAACCTCTAACCTTCATACACTAGACCATCGTAGAAGGGTTAGCGACTTAAGTCTCTTTTACAGATATTACCACGGAAGGTGTTCTGCAGCCATTGCTTCCATTATTCCACCTGGTGCTCACTTTGGACGTTCTACAAGGCTAGCGGAGAGCACACACCAGTTTGCCGTACACATTTCAACAGCTAGGACCTCTATGTATCAGAAATCTTTTCTGTACAGAACCGCGACACTATGGAACACACTACCATCAGAAGTGTTCCCAGTTGGTTACGACCTTCAGAGGTTTAAGACCAACATTAACAATTACCTACTAAAAACGCCTCGGGGCGCCTGAACAGGCGTTATAAGCTTCGTCTTTTCCCGAGTCGTGTGTATAAAAAAAAAAAAAAAAAAAAAAAAAAAAAAAAAAAAAAAAAAAAAAAAAAAAAAAAAAAAAAAAAAAAAAAAAAAAAAATAACTGAATAAATGAGCTTTACCGCACTCTTGAGACACCCTGTATGTATAACCCTATACTATCGACTAGCTTAAAACTATCTGCATATTTGAATTTACTAAGTAAAATACTAGGTAAAAATTTAAAGTTACTAAATTCAATTTAAAAAACAAAAATTGACCTTTTTCAGTGTTTCATAATTTAATTGCACAAATATTAATTGAGAAAATTAATTTATGTATTTCATATGGTTCACACTGTATGTATATATGATATAATGTACTATTATTTGCTATTTTGATGCATTCCATTGGGTACTTTTTAAATTTCCCGGGCAATATAAATAATTCCCAATTTTTTGCATTGACCGTAACAAATCTGTTACGTAATATAAATAACTGAATAACCAAATTTACGGTAATATTTATATTTAGATTGACCTTGCTATGTGCTAATTTATCGTTCATTTAAAATAACAGCTGATCTCACTGTTTAAAAGCTAATTTAGTTTCATTTAGTAGAAATGAAAATTGATATTTTTGATAATTTTATCTAATTGAGATCATATATTCAAATATTGTATATTAAATTAAATAGTTTGAATATATTTATTGAATAAAGGTTAGACTTTGATAATAACACCATATACCAAAAATGCATCATTTATCTTTTATTCGGCATTTTTTGATAAAACGTTTGAATGTTTTTTCTATGATATCTGTTATTAATGCACCTATAAGTTTCAAATTTCCTAATGACAATGTCCAGACATAGTACTAAATAAAACTAAACTGAGTTTTCATAGTCCACTTACAGGACGTTTAAAATTGTCTGATAAACATAGTCAACTTAAAGCGACCATAACTTTATTATTTTAAATGGATCACCCCGTATTTTTGAACATTGGACAGTTGGTATTTTCTAAGTTCTAACGAACAGATACCGTTGAAAACACCGTATATTATTTTTTGTTAACTGCTAACTAGCACATAAACGAATTTGCTACTTATGATTCATTCCTTGTTTACACTTCCCTCTCTCTCTTTCTGTATAGCCAATAGACCAGTACCAGCGTATACATTCACTCCGAGAGAACAGAACAAATTGAACCGATAATCGACCATCCAGTCGCCATACATGCTCCAAATCCCGTGCTACGTGCTCGAAAAACTGCGATGCTCAGCGTGCGGCGGCTACCTGAACACCAAGCCGCTGGTGGTGCGCGCGGAGGACCAACAGCAAATGTGCGGCAAGTGCTTCGAATCGCTGCCCGCCGACGAGAAGGGAAAGTACGCGAGACAGCCGGGCCTCGAGATCCTCGCCGATATCATCCAGTTTCCCAGCAAGTACGATTCGCAGGACTGCGGCTACAGTTATCGCACGAATTGCACCTATCGAAGTTCAAATACGTTTCTCGGCGATGGAAGCGTTAATAAATCGAGTCGTGTTAACAACGAATTGTTGTCCGAGTCCGATCAAGTACGATGCAGTTTAAACTACGAGATAAAGGACAGAACGTATACTAACGAACCTCAAACGTTGGATTTTGCAATGATATTGAAAGGCAATCGCGATAATATTTTGTCTATTAAAAACACCAGCAATGAAGAAGCACTGAACAACATCGAAATAAACTTGAAAGGTACACTACGCGTTAGCAACAAACCCGAATTGGTGTGTTCTAATATTGCTATTAAACCAATACAATACACGAATTTGCACGAATATAATCGAAGATGCTACCGTTGCACTGAAGGCTGCGGTGCCTGTAACCCGACAGATTCGAAATCCCTATGCAAAAATTTCTCTAGAGGCTGCAAGGAGAAGGTGCAATTCGACGATGCCCGTAGACACGAAGCCAAATGCGAATACAACAACTACAAATGCATTTTGGATTCCTGTAATGTGATCACCACGCTACCTAATATCAAGCAGCACATCAAAACCGATCATCCACATTCCATTCTATCCAGCGAAGTCTCGAAAATTTTTGGCGCCAAAGACGAGACGTTTGTGACGTACTCCAACGACAATCTCTTCAAGTGCTTCTATTACTATTACAAGACATTCGTGGAGTTTTACGTTGTGCTTGTGGGCTCCGGCGAAGAGGCCTCCAAGTACTCTTACGAGGTGATGGTGGATTTAGGCGACGGTGTGGTGTCGAAGAAATCGAAATGTTCCACGTGGAATGACGCAATGCTGGAGAAAGGCGTCACTTTCGATAAGAAAGAGCTGCTGGTCGATAACGATAAGATAGTGGAGGTTAAAGTAAAATTTAGGATTGTGTGAATATAATGAATAAAGCTCGGAATTTGTGCAAATTATTAACAAATTATTATTAAATCTGCATCAATGTACTCAGCTTTACATGAAAATGTCATATTTTTCAATACTAGTTTTCACAATTTTTTTGAAATTTTTTTTAATTTTTCATGAAAATTTCGTATATTTTATTACAAATTTTATGAAAATTGGCAACGATTTGTTCATTTTTTAATGAAAATTATTTTTGAAATCACGACTAAATATTTGAAACCATCATTTTTGTTAAGAAAATCTTTTATTTTCATGAATTTTAATCATCATTTTATTTTTTGCATATTTGCCTGTATTAACTATGCAAAGATTACTAGAATAATAATTATAATAATTAAATATTAAAATATGCACAGAATACTCAAGATGACCAAATTTGAAAAAAATACAGTTTTTATACAGGGTGGAAACACCAAATGGAATAAATTCATTATTTCGGTGATTGTAGGTATTAGAAAATCCCGAAACACGTAAAATTTTAATTAAAAATTGACATTCTTCAAGGTGAATATGTGATTTTTTAAATGGGCTTATGATATATCGTTTGAAACGTCTCTTTATTCTCTATATAAAAATGTTATTGGTTTCAAAAATTAAAAATAAAATCATCCGATGGCCTACATTCGATATAATTCAATACGTAATACTTAATTGTCATAATGTATAAAATATGAATCTCCATGCCAAAATCGTTATTTTATGCATTTCTGTTAATAAGACCATTTTTCTTAATTGCAGTAAACGAAATTATAACTAAGAACAGGTTTTTTATAACTAAAAAACAAAAATTATAACACTAACAGGTACTGTCACGAAGTTATAGTTCCAAACCAATTTTCTAAGGCTTTTTAAACAAACCAGTCTTATTATTTACACTAAAACAAGAAATAAGATTTATTTTTTAATGTTAATTTTTAAAATAAACATTTTTGGATAGAGAATGAAGATAGACCTTTCAAAAAATATGTCAGAAGCCTATACTTCCCAATTCGGGGTATACAAGGTGTCCCACGACGAGTTAAAACTATTGGTTAATAGGATACTACTTATCCGATTTCAATATGTATATGTTAGCAATACGAACCTCTAAAAATATTTTGACAGTCGTACTTCTTCAGTTCGTACCACTTCCGGATATACCAGAATAAGTAGGCATCAACTTTGTTATTTCAAATGGAATGCCCTGTATATTGATGTATTTTTGAAACCTACGTAAAATTTTAGGGTACTTTTGTCTAAAACATTTTTTCAAAAATGCGTATTTTTGAGTTCTAATTTTTTTTGACAAATTTTTCCGATGCAGACCCTCATAAATTATTTTTTACGGGGTTCCCCTTAAATATATGGAAACGGTTTCTGTAGGGTGGCTACTAGAAAGGTCAAAGGTATTTGAATCTGAATTAAAAAACTTTTTTATTTTATACAGGGTGTGTACAAAAAATGTGAAAAGTTGAACTTCCAAAATATCAATTTTCTTCATTTTATTAAATGGAACCACCAACTTTTTTCTATTTTAATGAAATCAGCCATCAAAAATAAGGGAAGTTTATGTTTACTTCCCTATACCTAAACCTAATAGTTTTGATATTTTTTTTATAAAACTTACTTTTCTGCCTAATCCTTAAATAACCCAGTTTTACAAGTTGGCCTTGTAATATCGTACAGGTATCAAAATTAATAAATAATTAATCAAGAAGAATTTAATGATAATCAAGTTTGATAATAATTTTTTTTAAATGTCAATTTATAATTAAAATTTGACGTGTTCCGGAATTTTCTATAATTATGTACAGTAACTGAAATAGTGAATTTATTCCAATTCGCGTTTCCACGTTGTGTAATTCGAATATAATTAATGATCATTTAAACACATTAACATTTTTGTGATATTAATTTTAATTAAAATTACCCGTTGTATTTCGGTCTTGAATTGTAGGTCAATGTCAAATACATGTATCGCTTTTAAACAAGTTTTATAGGCCACGCGTCTCCTCAGTTCGACTAATTCTCTCTTTCTACTGGTTGCAGCGCTGGATTTTGGCCGCTCGGAATGTGCCAAATGAATGCCAAATTACAGGGTGTTAAAAAAGAACAATATTTTAACTCTATACAGGGTGTTCAAAAAAAGTGTCAAAAAATGAAATGGGGAGTAGTATGGCATAAAATATGCAGAAGAGTCTTAATAAACATGTGTTCGCAAATGTGCCGTTTGGGCTCTAGAGCAATAGAACCAGTGGCCATTTTATATAAGGAAAAAGGCCACAATCGGGTCGATTTTGTTTGTAAATATTATTTAGAACAGTTCAGAATCATTTAAAACTGTCCAAATTCATTTATTGTAATTTATTTAGTTTTAATTTTTGTTTTATCTACAATGATTACGAGATTTATTAGAGGCAACGGCCATACTTCAATGAATACGCCAGTTCTCGTCCCTCAAACTATATCGAAACTTTTAATAAAACAATTACTTCATACAAAAATACTAACTGGTTAAAATTTAAATTAAAACTAAATAACTCCATAAAAATGAATTATAAGAAACATAACGTAAACTGTAATGTACTAGAAGAAGAATTCGAAAATTTTATTAGTAGTATTACATTAGTATTACAAAAATTAATGAGAAAGTACACCGAGAAAACATCTAATTAAATATACAAAGATAAATTCCCAAAAGCGAGTCTTTAATTAAACAAAAGCAACAAAAAAGAAAACAATGGCAAACATATGGACGAACCCATGATTATCAAAGCTTCATGAGATTAAAACGAAGAGTTAAAGAGGGAATAAAAATGTTTAGGAAAAAAATATGGAACCAAAAAATTAAAAAAAGCATCTACAGAAAACAATTTTTGATGGAAAATTACAAAAACCTTAAGAAAAAAATATCAGTGTGTCTCCTCATTACAATTCAATAATCAAGATCTAATTTCTAAAAAGGAAAAAGCAGATAAGGAAATTTCTGAAAAGGAAGGTTTAGCACAGAACTTAGGTAACATACATAAAAACACCCCTATTAACGCAAATCAAGAACTATATGATCAACAATTGTATAAGACAATTTTATTATCCAAATGTTTGAAACTAGCTGCAATAACACCCGTAATCAAACCTGAAAAAAAACCCAACAAACAGCTACAGACCAATCTCGCTACTCTCTATCTTAGGTAAAGTACTAGACGCAATATTGCATATTAGTGAAACGCCGGGGTTTTCTTAAAAACACTTTATTATCACAACACCAATAATCTTAATTAATAGGTCGCCGATATTCGCCGTTCACCGAATTGTAGTTCGCCACGCCAACGCCGACTTGACACTGTCCTCCCAACCTCCCTTTGCCACGCGCGCTTACTCGCCTAAGCCGCATTCGCCGGCCACACTGACTAATCTATTCGAGATTTCCTATCGCCATATAAGAAACCTGTTTTCGCAAATTTTGGGCATTTCACTGGGCCATCCTTCAGAATTAAATGTCCTCATTAGTTTACCAAACTCCGCCCATTCATTCATCTATGCATTCACTCGCCAAAATCGCCAAACTCGTCTGCTTAATTCGTCTAAGATTTTCGCCTGGTACGCCTAATACGCCTAATTTGCCGAATACATTCACCTAATTTGTCTCGCCAATTTCGTCCAGTGTGTGTCAAGTTAATTCGCCTGAAACTCTCGTCTATTACACCTAGTATATTCGCCTTACTCGCCAAATTGGTCCAAGTAATTTGCCTGAAATGCTCGCCTATTGCATTCTTAATCTACCTGATTAATCGAATGATATGGTTTTAACAAATCGACCGCCTCGATAGTTTTACACCGTTTGTACTCTTTAACGCCTTTTATCTCCTCGATGAATATCTCGCCAGATATTTCGCTTTCGATACGATGCATCCAGTTGTTTGTTAACAATTTTATCACCAGCGCCCGTCTAAATCACCTGCTTTGTATTTGTTCGCCTCCTTCCTCGTCTATGGTCAATTCTCGTCTTCCTCCAATTAGCTGCCTGTCATCCTGTTAGCCGCCCAGTTTGTAAGTATTCGCCAACGCCCTCGTTCGTCTTTCGTGCACTCTTTTTACATCGATAAGACTCAACCAACGCCGTTCGGGAATCTCATCGACATTGCACACCATTCGCCCACCTTGGTTAACGCCACCAAGTTTAAGTTTCCCGCTAACGTTTTTCACCAATGTTATTCGCCAAACTCCAAAGTTGCCGCCCACCTTTCCGCTTTATTCGACCCAATCATCGGACATTCTCAATTTTGGGCATTTCATTAGATTAAAAAATGAAATCGTTGAAAGAAATTTAATTTCTGATATACAATACGGATTTAGATCCGGTCATTCAACGGAATCACAGGTCATCCGGGTACAGCGTTGCCAATGCGAGTAAAATTGCTCCCATTGTGAGGATTAAGATACTCGCTGGAGCAAAATGCGAGCAAAAGACAAAGGCGAGGATTTTGTGAGGATTTTTGTGTATTTTGTGATGAATTACATTATATTTAATAACCATTATTTTCACAATCCCAATGTTTATTAAATATTAATTTCTACTAAATGAAATTTATTTGACAACATAGCCTTCAAACACATGAAGTTTGCGTTCCTAAGAGCAGGGCCACTGATTCAGTGCTCACTCAGTGCTCTCGTTGTCTCGCTCTAACTGAATAATTTTTAACCAACGAGAACGAGACAGCGAGAGCACCGAAAACTGCTCGGAGTGTATACCGGACCGGAACTCGCTATTAACACCTTGAAATTAACTGTCAGCTGTCAGCTATCATTGTTCATTGTTACACGGTAAATCCCAGAATCCAGAATAGGAAATTAAATAAAAAAATAATTAAAATTGTGTGGAAAATGGAAAAGTTCTTAGGAAAATGGTTAAGTCAGGTAAGATATCTGCTATTTTACATCTGTATCCTAAAAGTTAATAGTATATTGCCTTTTTATTATCAAGTTAAATGTGTTGAATGTTTTTCTATACTATTCTAAACCTAATAAAACCGTGTAGGATCCAAAAAACCCACGTTCATCTGAATCAAATAAATGTGCTAAGGACGACATCGATATTTGCGAACCATCGACTTCATCAATAACTACTATAACTAGTAAAATTAACGACGAGGTGAGGGCATTTCTTAAAT